AAATGCAAAATCCCCGCTCACCACATCCGTACTCTGATGGACGATATCTCTATAGCGAGTGACGATGCTCAACATCTTGCGGATCTGGTGACAGAAGTCAGGTCCGGTCTCAAAAACCACAGGTTCACGGAGAACGTTAGGAAACTACTAACAACTCTCCCTGAGTGTAGGCCTCGCGAACCTGAGGGGTTACTGGGCCTTATTTGGGACCCAAAGACTGACACTCTCTCGGTAAGAACCGAGCTGAAGCATCTGGCGGCAAATCTCACGACCTTAGCTGACTTACGAGCATACAGTACTTCACTCTTTGACCCCCTTGGTATCTGTCTAGAGTATGTTATGCGTCTACGTAAGATCGTTCGTGGTGCACGGTTGGATACCGACTCTCTCTCCAAGCTCTCTTCTGGAATCCGAACTGCTCTAGTCAAATGGGAGGATGAGCTGAAGACCAGGCATCACCGGGTACCACGCGTCTTACACCCTGCTGACTGGTCACATGCAGGGATTCTCTGCTTGTTCACTGACAGTAGTGACCAGGCTGGTGCAGGCATATTGACAACGAGCTACGGTAGGCGGATGATGGCACGTGGTTTCCTACAGGACGAATCCATCAAGAACCGCACTGCACCTCGCTTCGAGCTCGACACCTTGGCCATCAGTCTCGGATGGACAGTCAAGCTCCTCACAGAGGCCAACGACTACCTCCACACCGCCTCCTTGCTGGTCTTCACGGACAATCTATGTTCAAAGACCGTCACTCTGACCCTGCTACTCCCGACCATCGCGTCGACCACCGAGTCACTGAGCCTTCTTTGCGAGGACATCCACTTGGATCGAAGTATCGTCATCACGGTCAACCTGCCACGGCCGACGACGTAGGCCACTATGTGTACTTTGCTTCTAAGACCGACCTGTACATGGGCGAGCTACTAGCCAAGGATTTGAGCGGCTACCGGATTCGTTTGTCTACGTACTCCCCCTCTTCGAGTAAGTTGGTACCTACTGATACCGTAGTAGTGGTACCCGCAGCTCACATTTTGACTACCCTGCCCGCTGATCATGGGCAGGTTAGCTCAGACATTGTTCTCTCCCGAGCTAGTCGACGCTATATAGATGGATTATTGAGGAAGCGAGTTTAACTTATTATTCTTCATCATGAGTATAGTATTAGTATCATCAGTATTTTTTTCTGTTGTAGTCTCATCAATGCTCGAGCTGCCCCCGGCAGATCTGTCCTGATCTCGTCAACAGGAGTCCTGTTACAGGACCATGTTAGTCAACATCTCTCATCCGAGTACAGTAGACAATTCTGTGCATACGTACTTCTTCGTCTGTGCGCTGTACGTGAGAACACTGCACGCGTAAACACAGTCCTACCTTCGCCTTACGATCGGTACGATTGGTTCTGACAGTCTACACTGTACGTACCTAACCTATAAGACCACCTTGTGTTACACCAGTTACGGGACAGTAATTGAACACTCGTTGGTTAATCGAAATCTAACCTATCGACACTAACTTTTCAAAATTTTTATAACTGAACGAATAACCCACAAGAACTAACCATGCAGCTCCGTGACGACTTACGCAACACATTGTTCTTGATAGTACCAACACTCACGAAAGTAACGAACACTTGAAAGCAGCGAACAAGGTCGTCGTGGCAACTCCCAGATGCTGATAAGACCGTGTTAGATACTCGAAATAAGTAGCATATCACGAAAACGAAACGAAGGAAGAACAGCAAACAGTTAAATATAGGAAATGTTAGTGTATTCCGGATAGAGTTACTTCTTGCTCAGAACCTTCACAAGCCAGTCGAGACCCTCGTACAGACCATCACCTGTAGTAGCACAAGTAGACTGGATGTACCAATTGCGATGACGAAGCTGATTCAAGCCCAGCTTGTCAGTGATCTCGGAGGCGCTCATGGCATTCGGAAGATCCTAAAACGCGGCGATCAGAACATCATAACTGAAAATAATTAACTACGCACCTGCTTATTGGCGAATACCAGCAATGCAGCGTCCTTGAGCTCATCTTCTTCCATCATACGACTAAGCTCTTGTCTGGCATCCTCAATACCTGAAATGAATCTGACCGAAGTTATGCAGACAAGAGACGTAGCTTACGGTCCCTATCATTGGAATCGACAACGAAGATAACGCCCTGAGTGTTCTGGTAGTAATGCCTCCAGAGAGGGCGGATCTTATCCTGTCCGCCCACATCCCACACAGTGAAGCTGATGTTCTTGTATTCTACGGTCTCCACGTTGAAGCCAATCGTAGGGATCGTTGTAACAACCTCACCGAGCTTCAGCTTATACAAGATTGTGGTCTTACCTGAAACGAGAGAGTAACCCCATAATCCTGCAACGCCGAGGACTTACCGGCGGCATCAAGCCCAACCATAAGGATCCTCATCTCTTTCTTTCCGAAGAGATTTTGGAAGAGGGAGCTCAATGTCATACCCATGATGTCTGGGGCGATTACTTAATAACAAATAATACCCAAAACTAAAATATGAGGATACACAGAGCACAAAAAGACTACAAATGAACACAATTCCACAAAAACCCCTAGATAACGCTGAAAATGCTACTACTGTCTGGAGAGTCGAAAGATACGGGCCGTATTAGTCACAAAAGCAGTCACAAATAGTATCATACCATCGAACCAACGTATAAACCAACACTGCCCGAGTCATGTAGACAAGTGTCACAAGATCGACGAAGTCAATACCATTAGTATGATGCTAGTAGAGAGCATTTGGATTACTTTCACACCATCGCCCAAAGACCTTCCACTCGATAGGAAAGCAAGAGCCACCGAATTCAAAGACTTTACTTGGCCTTGCTTAGAGTCTTGCTGAGCCAGTCAAGGCCTTCATACAGACCATCACCAGTGGTAGCACATGTGGATTGGATGTACCAATTGCGATGACGAAGCTGATGTAACCCCAACTTGTCGGTAACCTCAGCAGCAGTCATGGCGTTAGGAAGATCCTGAATGATATAAATACTGCACAACTCGCACTTATCGAGTAGAACCAACCTGTTTGTTAGCGAAAACCAGCAAGGCTGCATCACGGAGCTCTTCCTCGTTGAGCATTCTTTGTAGTTCCTCTCTAGCGTCGCCGATACCTATATGTCGACCACTTGAAACGAGAAGAACTCATATCCGCACTTACGATCCCTATCATTAGAATCGACAACGAAGATAACGCCCTGAGTGTTCTGGTAGTAATGCCTCCAGAGAGGGCGGATCTTATCCTGTCCGCCCACATCCCACACAGTGAAGCTGATGTTCTTGTATTCTACGGTCTCCACGTTGAAGCCAATAGTGGGGATCGTCGTAACAACCTCACCGAGCTTCAGCTTATACAAGATTGTAGTCTTACCTGAAACGGGGAAATAACCTCTTAGACTCACAGCGCTAAGAACTTACCTGCGGCATCAAGCCCAACCATAAGGATCCTCATCTCTTTCTTTCCAAAGAGATTTTGGAAGAGGGAGCTCAATGTCATACCCATGTTGCCTGGGGTATATTGACAATGCCGAAAGCTAGCAAGAGAATGGGCAAATATTACGTGTTCCTCCTCAAGCCTAGCGCCCTACAACAATGCTACATACGTCCTAGCGAATTGACTGATAGACCTCGAATAATTGCGATGGCAGAAAAAAAGTAAGGCTACTGGGCACCTAGACTACGCATACCTCAAACCATCACCCGTAGACTGTAGTGAAAGTCAACTCATTACGGTAGCAGAACTCCCAACCCGCTCTAACGCCGCGTGCGTTTCACAAGAGGCCGCCTAGCGTCTTTGAACACAGCCGATGGAGAAACGTTGAGATTTTCCAAGATTGCAAGATTCTTCAAGGTGCGGTACACAAAGAATGGGGTCGATATGCCAGTGGATCGTCCATGGGGAAGAATCTTGAAGCCTTGCGCGAAAGATACGAAATAGGTCGTGTTGCACAGTGTCGGCATTGTGGCTAAACTGCGACACCGACTTTCGGACGAGTGGACATGGCTTCACCGTAGTCCTCATTTATCCTATCCTCGATGCTATCAACGATTTCTAGCAGTCTCGCAGCTCGTGCTCTTCCATCAGCAGCAGTGTCTCTCGGTAGTGTTGCCTCTCAGAGGTAGGTTGACTTAGTGCCTTGGTTGGGAGGACTGTATTTCCTCGAGGTTCTATCATGAGAATGTGAGAGAGCACTTCTATCACCCGAGGAACGTTGGAAAGCTCGACAAGAAGGATCCCAATGTCGGTACCGCAGTAGTTGGTAAGCATCCGGGATGATGTAGTTCAGCTTTCTAAGGACGGTCTGATCTTTAGGTAAGGCTTCGTGCGGAGATGTTGTTCAACTCCAAGTCAAGATCGAGGATGGCAACGTGAAGGATGCTAAATTCAAGACCTTCGGTTGTGGGAGCGCTATTGCTAGCAGTAGTTTGGCTACTGAAATGATCAAGGGTAGTGTTGAAGTGCTTGTGTCCTGCTATGAATAGTCGACTCAGGCAAATCTAAGGAGGAAGCTGCCCAGTTGAAGAACACCGACATCTCGGGTTATCTGAAGCTACCTCCAGTGAAGATTCATTGTTCACTTCTAGTCGAGGAGGTGAGCAAACGCTAGAACACTTCATTCTTTATTCATGTCATCTTGTTCAGGCTGTGCAAAAGGCACTTGACGATTATGAGAAAAAGCAGGCTAAGCTGAGCGACAGTACCTCCGAAGCACAACTTGCTTGAATAGGATCATCGGCAAAATGCCGGCCTATTGTACACTGTTGCTTTTTTAGTCAGTAAGGCTCTTCTTGTCATTGAATGCACATACTGTTCGATTTATTCCCAAAAAGTTGCCACATTTCCACTCGTGTAACGTGATGAAGCGTATTGCGTTTGTCAGAGGAAGTGAGGGTCATTCAGTTTAGATGCATTTTTCAATCTCCAACTGTTTTACGGGATATCGGATATGGGTTGTGGTCGCATTCTTTGCAGACCTAGGGGTCGATGCTGCTCTATGCATTGATCCCTCGTTTGATGAGCTTTTTAGAGGTACCGTTATCCCTACGGTTAGATTTGCGACGATATGCATGTAACGCTGCGTTGATCAGGTCTCAAATCGGCAGTGGTTGTATCCACAAGTGACTTAGTGCCAGCAGTGGTGGATGCGACGAAACATGATTTCCTTCGAGTTGCCCTCAATGAAAGAGCCAGTGATGTTTGCAGTTCTGACAGCGACGGCCCTTATTGTGGAGCTCTCCCTTATTCGGCACGCAGCCGGCGGGCTCGCGAATTTGTAGTAATGGGATGTACTCCGTCATACTTCATCCCGAAGTCCATCGTGGACTGGCAAAACTCACTCGGTTTCTGCCAGATATCGGGACTCGATGGTCCTTCCTTCATGGAGAGGAGTACCATTTTCGTGGGCAGTCCCGGCTTTGACGCCTTCGCTGATGCTTTGCGAGCAGCAAGTGCTAAGGCGATCTCGCGGAGCCTTCCGCCGGATGAAACTATCAAAATTATAAATGCCGAGCTTGAAGGTTATGAGCCAGGAGAACGGATCGGTGCAGAGATCGATCAAGACCATGTTCCGGAGTTTCCTGTACGTGATGATGCGAGTGTTGAAGACGACACTATGCTTTTCGGTGAGAAACCATTATTGCAGCCACTGAATGCTGGTATTAAATCGGATACGTCCGTCGCGCAAGTGTTAGTGAGCGGACCCAAATCTATTTCACCATCATCGAAGCATGCCTCCGACGAGATCGAATATCACCCGAGTGGACCGCATGTCAAGTTTGCCAGTGACGATGTTGCAGCTACTTTCATGGGACCGTGGTTTGGCGGTGCCGGAGGCTTGGGGGTTCGTCTGGATGGTGTTGGCCGAATCCGCTTTACTCGACCGGTAGTCGTCCGATCGATTAAAGGCATTGGCGAGAAACAGCTGTACGTATTCGGTAAACGCGGCTCGTCTGAAAGCTGGCGACGAATTATCCGCTCCGAGCAGTCGCACTTCGAATGTGACACGGGCGATGTTGTGTGGATCAAATCTCGGAAAGATGGACGGCGTCATGTGGCGAAAGTAGTATGGGTCTCTCTATGTCGTCGTTGATTGGCGTTCGATTCGAAGGAAGAAGCTGAAGCTCAACTCTCCTTGAATAGCTTCGAGAACTGTCTCAAATCATCGCTGCGTTTATGTTCCGTGCACGCTCTTGTATTGGAATGCTACCACTAGTTTCGTATCGTTTCCTCGCGCAGGTCACGTTCGCATCTGATGAAACTCTGACAGTTAACTGGGCCGATGGTGATGCTACATATCGCACCATGGCTAGAAGGGACTCAGAGTGTCAGAAGGTAACCTCTGTCTGGAACACGAGGGCAGTTGACGAGGTGACAGAGCTCAATCTCAGCATTTGAAATCCATTTCCTCCCATATTCAGGTGGTCTTCATAACCTCTTCGCAATCCTCGTGGTTATTGCTGGAGCTTACGGTAGCGGTCAGTACTTCTGGAGACGATGATCCGAGATTGGTAGCCTTCTCGAGGTTTCCTTTTACCATTTCAGATTTCCTCCTCAGTTGGTTCGAATCACCAGATCGGGGGTCATTCTCCTGGACAGAATAGCTCCGGGCGCTGACGTAGTTTCGATTGACGATGTGGTCAAGGCTGCTGCCCACACATCGATCCTCGGAAGAACGATAGAGTCGATCGAAGACATTGTGTTGGTTGGGAAGTCCGAACGGGTAATAACTACGAACGCTCACGTTGTATACGCTTCAAAGTGGTCACTATTTACGACGGACTCTGTCACATAAATCGTGCTCGGTATTCGTCAATGGCGAAACATTGGTGATGAACGACCATATTCGATTGCCGAGCATCGAATGTTCCCGTATCGTTGGGCTGTCGAGGCCGTCCTTCTAGTCCATGGCTCGGCATCGTAGCTCTCACGAAGAGGTTTCTTATGTCGCGTGATAGACAGCTAGACCACCGTCTTTTCCCGACGAGTTCCCCTCAGCCTTCATCTCGGCCTAGTCTACGACCCGGGAAAGGTGTGGCACGCCCTCATTCCTTGCGAGTCACCGTAGCCGACAGATCCTTCATGGGTTTATTGAAGTTTGCGAAGGCTCTTGAGAGTGGAAAGTAGTATCCGGTAGTCTGTTGTTCTCGACAATTCTGTTCTCCATTGAATTGGCCTGTGCCCATGATATGTCTCGTCCCTTGTTCCACATTATGGTGAAGCTGGTGATGGGTCCTTCTTGGTAGGTATGTAGTGTCGGAGACTGATCATTCGTATATTATAGATGCCTACAAAGCCATTCTTGCTAGAATGACACTTAGAGGTGATTGTGATGTGTCCATTGACATAGGCACTCCAACATATATTCTGGCCTTCATACTGCCGATTTCAGGTACACGAGACTTCAAGAGACACATTCACTTCGAGGACTTTCTGATCCGTGAGTGGGATCGCCCTGCTGTCTCCGGAACTACTACGAAAGCATCGTTATTCAAGCTCGACATTCTCTCTGCGAGGTATACGCTTCCGTTCCGGACCTTGGAGTTTTATCTTTTCGGCCCCCATAGGTATCATGATTGGCTCACATCGAGCTCGCAGTCTTATCATCCTTGTTTTGAAGATGAGGTACGAGTCGTCGGCGAGTACTACTGCGAATCAAGTGGTCGTGGTACTCCTTTCGAGTTGCTCAATGTTAACCTAGATGTTAGTAGCAATACGGCATCGGGAACATTCGCTTTTGAACACCGGGACTTGTGGTACAGCTATGAAGTTGGTGGTATCTGGGAAGGCGTGAGCCAAACTCTCTATCTTGAGCCTATCAACGACCCTAGTGTCTCAATACCCGAGGGTTTCGTTGCGGTGCCTTTGCATCTCACGTTCTACGAGGACCATGGTGATTACCTCCAGGGTGAGTCCTTCCTCCAGGGCCCTATTCATGATAAACTCTATTTTTAAAGGGTTCATCCCATGTTGCTCTCCATAAATTGTGTTAGGCTCTATTGGCGCTCTTGGTTGCGACGCCATATACGGTAAGCTCGTTCCCCCGATATCGCCGACCACTCCGGATGCTGACATTGAGAAGAGATATTCAGCTGAGGAAGTCAAAGGTCCACTAGTAGATGTAGCAGAGGAAATTGACAATCTTCGTTCGATATGGCGAAGTAGTCTGTTCGGAAAAAAGATGCGAGGCGAGTGTTCGACCCCTCTCTGATATCAAGGCCACTCTCCTAGTCAGGTTCTTCGATGCTGCCCGATAGTAGTGACACGGTGATCCCCATCTCATTGTAGGAAACCAGTCATCATTACTGTTACGTTGACTTCTTTATTTATTTCATTGTGCAACAAGGTATTCATTAATTCCTATGCAGCCATTGCGGCGTTGCGGAAATTATTCGGTTGTCGAGTTTCGTAGTCGCATAGCATTCTTATTACTTCTGGTGTACCATCAGGGGCGACGTAGTATAAGCTGATCAGTTGTTTCGGTAGATTCGATTGTTGGTGAGGCGGGACAACACGAAAAGTAGGAAGGTTTCTGACCAGTTACACCAACAAAAATATCGCGCTGCCCCAGAATCAATTGCACTTCATCATACACCCCTCCACATATTCTTAGCATATCCGGTTTTTCGACTCGTGCACAGCCACCACAACGAGTATCATCTTGCGGGTCAGGGAGGTATGTACTTATGCTTTACCTGATATGACCTCCAAGTTTCAGGGCCTAACTCTTCGTAGTTAGTGAGAAGTCGAAGACCGGTAAAACGTTTTCTCCACATATTCTTAGCATACACGTGTTAAAATTGCGCCTCAAAATACCAACTTTTACTCGGGGAGTATATCTATAACTCCGCTCCTGATCTAATGCTATACATCAACAGAAAGAGAATCGTTCATAATGGCATCCCTCCATGTTTCACTCTCATATTTGGAAGCACAAGCCTGCTAGTGCGTCTTGAC